ATGACTGTACTTGCTGCAGCAGAGCAAGGTACAGGAGGATTACCTTCAACCATCCCTGACAGAACGGCACTACGTTGTATCGTGGAGGATGGGCGCCAGCCCTATCTTGCCGCTATCTTGAGCATCGACAGTTGGATGGTCGTCTTTCTCGTCATTCTTGCGGTGCCCGTACTCCAAGGGATCATGTTTCTGGTTGTCCTCTTTTATTCGGACGCCATCATCGTACTCGAAGAGTCGCATGTATGTATCTCGCGAGTCCTCGCCCCCATCACACGGGACTTGGAAGGACAGGGATCTCTTCTTGGTATCGAAGATGTTATAAAGGCTGTGGATGGTCGGGGCGATGGCGTGCCCTTACGATACGCGTATGAGGAAACGAACCGACACTGGGAGCGCGAGAAAAAGTGGCAGAAGTTCCGCGCAGGGTTTTTCTATAGACCCACTGGCAGGTTAGTGAAGGCTCAGCATGGGAAGTTCCCAGAGGGGAAGTATGACTGAAGGCTTGCCGGTACTATACTGTATGTTACGCGATTGCGACCGAACAGTCGACGAATCTATATTGCTGTTGCGTACAGTAAGAGATTACCTATCTGGGACTAGCTTCTGCTTTCTCTGATTTACACCTATTCTTTATGAGATATATAACATAATGCGCTTGCTCCAAATTCCGTTGCTGTATTGTTAAAGTATGGCGCGATGGCTGATGTAAGTCGCGATGACGAGTCCGTGATACGTCCGTGGATGGCTCAGGGTCTCGGGCGGGGATGCGTAAGCTCCGCAGGCGTGCAGGCGTGGCGCGGCTGCTCTGTCACTAATTTGGGACAACGGCTTGGCCGACCTCAAACCCGCGCGTTCCCACCACTCCTCCCGCCCGCGACGACTACCTTTCACTCCACCAATCGACTCGCCGAGTCGCGTGGAATCCACCAGCATGTCGCGCACACAGCAGGTCGAGCATACCGACTCCATCAGCAGCCAGGACCCCAGCCGCGACGAGCCGAAGAAGACCAAGAGCAGGAGGCCGCCGAGTAAGCCTGATAGAGACATGCGCGAAGGAGGACAGTGCTGATGGGATACTAGACACTGCATTTAGGCAGCAGCGCTTGAAGGCATGGCAGTAGGTGGAATCATGGCGGCAGATGGCAACACCCACGACTAACCGCGCAACAGGCCCATCTTAACGCCGAAGACCGTTCTGCCTCTCTTCTTCATCGTCGGAGTTATCTTCGCCCCCATCGGCGGGCTGCTTCTATATGCTAGCGCGCAGGTCCAGGAGATCTCAATCGACTACACAAACTGCAACTCGACCGCGCCAGAAGTCCCCGTAAACTTCGACCCCAACGCCGAGAACCCGCTCGACCCAATTCCCGGCGGCAGAGTGTCCGCGACATTCAGATCCAAGGAAGACCCGCAGGCGATGTGGGGTTGGGGCCGCGAGAACTACACTTTCGAGTCCGGCGTCGAGCAAGAGACAAACGTGTGCATCCTCAGCTTCAACATCCCAGAGGATATCAAGCCGCCGATCCTCTTCTACTACCGCCTCACAAACTTCTACCAGAACCACCGCCGCTACGTCAAGTCCGTCGATATCCAACAACTCAAGGGCGATGCCCGCAGTGCCAGCGACCTCAGCTCGGGCGACTGCTCGCCGCTGGACGTAGATTCCGAGACGGGAAAACCGTATTACCCCTGCGGTCTCATCGCCAACTCCATGTTCAACGACACATTCAGCCAGTTGACGCTCGCCAACCCCGCTGGTGGAACAAATGCCGGTGGCCAGAACTACACCATGACTGTGGAGGGGACTTCGTGGAGCCACGAGGGTGATCTCTACGGCGAGACAAAGTATAAACCAGAGGATGTTGTCCCACCGCCGAACTGGCAGGAGCAATACGAGAATGGCCGTTACGGCGATAAGCTGCCTAACCTGCATACCTGGGAGCAGTTCCAGGTCTGGATGAGGACCGCGGGTCTGCCTACGTTCAGTAAATTGTACCAGCGTAACGACAAGGATGTTTTGACTGCTGGTACCTACCGTCTCAAGATCTATGACCGTACGTCTTTCCCATCTCTCTTCCCTCTCCCTTCCTCTCTTTACCCTTCCTCCCCTCTCCCCTCTCCCACACCTCCCACTAACCCACCCCCAGGCTACCCCGTCGACAAATACAGTGGCACAAAATCCATCCTCATCTCCACGCGCACCGTCATGGGCGGCAAGAACCCTTTCCTCGGCATCGCATACCTCGTTGTCGGCGGTATTTGCATTCTGTTAGGAGCCGTGTTCTTGGCTACGCATCTGATCAAGCCGCGCAAGTTGGGGGATCATACGTATTTGACTTGGAATAATGATCAGCCTAGTAGTGCTACTACGACGGGGAGGGCTGGTGGTGCGTAGGCATTGGCAGGATAGGATGAGTAGGATGTCTTGTACGTGTTGTTTGGGCTGGTATCGTACTGTACGTATATCATAAGCTTTCGATTGGGCGATCTTGGGCGTTTGGGTGTTTGAGAGCGTAGGGACTAGAGTATAGTCGTGTTTATTGAGACTATCCAATTTCATTTTACTACATTCGAAAGTCTCCCGAGCTTGCAAGATACTGACGAACTCTCAAGAAGTGGTGTTTGACGATAAAAAAGAGCTTGGGCAGCATGACAGACATCAATGAACAAGATGGTCACATGTTAGATCCTTATTCAGCATTGAAATGATTTCACTCCCCCATTCAGGCTTGTGACATGCCGCCTCCAAGCAACAATAATCGACTTCTATATACACATCCCCAACTCCACCACCTTCTAGCAACTCGTCTTTCCCCCACTTACACTGCAGGCAGCACCACCCTTGCATACCTACACATCAATCAGCACACCATCCTTACTAGTACAGGTCTCGTTGAGGCTAAACTTACGTTCTTGCACGCATACCACGTTTTGCCATCGGCGCAGCATCCCGTCTTGGATGGGCAGTATCCCCATTGGTTGTTGGGGTCGCTGCCTTCGGACAGCTGGGCGTGGTTGGTGGTGAAGTGCTCGTCGTGGTCGAAGCATTGCTGCGGGGGTGGATGTTAGTTGGGGGGATGGAGATGGGGGGATAGGGATGGGGGTATGAGGGATGAGGGATGGGGAGAGGGGGAGAGGGGGGGATGTACCCAGGCGGAGACGGAGGCCGTGGCGGTGAAGAGGAGGAGGATTGCTGAGAGCTGCATTGTGATGGTTTGGGAGGGCTGGATGACGACACTCTTTGTGATGTTGAGGTTCAGGTTGGGGCAGAATGAAAAGATGTGCGGTAGAAGAAGCCCTTCTTATCAATCTTGAACAAAGCCATATCGACCAATTCTTGCATCCGCGACTCAGATTTAGCCACGATGTAAATGAATAGATTGCAATCGCCTCATCACGAGACGAGCGAGAACGCACGAAGAACTAAATCGGTGTGTCCTGATCTTCTCAGGTCTCTCTCGTATCTGTGAACAGCAAGTGTCGGGCCGTACCCCTGTTTTGAACACAACCTCCGCATGTTTGAGTCCACCAGCGAGGAAACGAACGAAACAAGCTCACGAAATCTCCACCTCCGCACTTGGCTGCGAAAGCTTTTGTTCTTGCTTGGTTTTGTTGGTGCCGCTTTCGCATATGCATTGCTGATGCTTTCCCAATCTCATCTCCTAAATCTCCACCACACCGCTCTTACCTACACTTTGTCCCTCGCTTCCTCAACCACGATCTTGCACATCCTCCCTCCCAATGTAAAATCTCGGAGCTTTCACCCAATAGCACTTAAAACACAACCTGATAGATCCCTCCAAGCGAGACAGCCTAGGCTGTACGCAGTAGCTGCACGGCGAAATGCGCGGTGAGGCTCAATGCGCGGTTCGGCGTCGGCGTAATGCACAGAGGGATAATTTCACGACGTGTGTTTCTGCACGAGGTGGGATTCCACCAGTAGAGATGGGAGTTCGAGCGAACATGGAGGAGAATGGTGTGGTTGAATTGGTAGCGCAGAGACTGTACCGCGGAAGAGGAGGGAGAAGATGTTTGGAATGACAAGTGCGCTGGAGTATAGATCGAGAAAACAATGAAACATTATCAGTACCTGAAGGCAACGTTGGGCTCTAGGCTATCTATTTCCATTGCCGCTGGCCTAGATATTTGGGTTTGTAAGCTTTTCGTTTTTTAGGTGGAAGTTTGGTGGTGACGCGGGGATGCTTTGCGAGTACGCGACCTCGGGATTCCCTACACGATGCTTGGAAGCGGACTATTCGCGCTCAGGACATCTCGGGTTGATAGCATATAGATATGAGCCACTTTTTTGATCCCCCCGAGGCTCTGGAATGCTGAGTAGAGTATGATCGTAGAGTAGGAGAGGCACCCACCTGGGCAGGCGCGTGAGCTAGTCAGCACGTGATGAGCCTTGGCAGCGGTCCAACTCTGTTGAGCCTCCAGGGCTCTAACAGGAGCGCGCTGACATGTCCCTCGAGCAAACAAAAGCTTGCGCATAATGCTGTATACATCTGCAGACGCGTCTATAGTTCTTTTGGTCGCTTCCATGTCGCCGTCGCATGTGAAAGATCTCTCAGCCTTGCCCCGCCTTCTTCGGGCGCGGGCTGTGCCTCTGCCTTGAGTGGGTGGTGAAGATGCAGCCTGGCCCGAACATTCAGCTTCCGGTGACCAGCCTTTCTCGTTCCTTCTCTGATGTGGCAAGATGCTGCTTTAATTTGCAATGAGCCTACTAACTACAATCTTCACGTCCCGCACGAGCAGGACGCCCCGTCAAGCGCTCCGGTGAACACCCGGGTCATTCCAAGGTTGCCACCATTCCGCCCATCGACACCCAATTCCAACGGCTAAGAGAGGAAATTTCCTGATAGAAATTGAGCTACGGGCTCCGACTTTTCCTCGTCAACGAACCGGCGCACGCTGTTGGCGCCCTTGTGAAACCGTTGAGTGAAATCTACGGTTCTTAAATTCCCTCCGTCACTCGCGCATACGGACATATCGGCGCAATGCGGCTACTTTACACCACAACGGATGGAGAAATCGCATCGACGAAGGACTTAATACGTACTGAGGAAATACCTCGTTATGCAATCCTCTCACATACTTGGGGCGAGCAAGAGGTGACCTTCGACGACCTCAGAAACTTCGGTAGCATCAATGACAGTGAAGCCAGAAACAAAGCGATAGCAAAGAAAAAGGAGGGTTGGGACAAGATCCGCTTCTGCGCACAACGGACTAAGCGTGACGGCATCGAGCATTTCTGGGTAGACACCTGCTGCATTGACAAGGCAAACAACACAGAGCTTACGGAGGCTATCAACTCGATGTTTCGCTGGTATCAAAAATCAGACAAATGTTATGTCTACCTTCCAGACGTCGAGGGTAAGCCCTCAACAGAAGACATCCGGCCATCCTCGGAATGGGAGGCTGCTTTCAGGGCGAGCAGATGGTTCACCCGAGGATGGACGCTCCAAGAGCTTATAGCACCGCGCTTCGTTGAGTTTTTCTCTGTAGATGGAGCACGTTTAGGAGACAAAGAGTCGCTTAAACAGACTATCTGTGAAGTTACAAAGATACCCATCGAAGCTCTGTCAGGATGTGATCTGTCAGACTTTGACATTGCTGCGCGTTTCTCTTGGGCACAGAATCGCCAGACGACAAAGGAGGAAGATGGAGCGTACTGTTTGCTGGGCATACTTGGGTGCAGCCTACCACTGATTTACGGTGAAGGGAAAGAGAAAGCTTTCAAGCGATTGAGAAGAGGAGCGCTGGAGGCGTTGGAGGATACTGTAGACGCCTTGATACTCAGCGGCAAGACTAAGAGTCAAAGCGAATCAAAAAAGCTCAGCAAGCTAAGCAGCTGGCTTACGGCACCCGACCCATCATCCAATCAGCATAAAGCGTGCAAACAGCGGCAGGCTGAAACTGGGTTGTGGTTGCTGGAAAGCGAAAAGTTCAGGAGATGGAAAGAAAATGCTGCGTCAAGACTCTGGCTTTATGGTATCCCAGGATGCGGAAAGACTATCCTAAGTTCCTCCATTATCGAGCATCTAAAGCGGTACTGCGGCGATGACAATCACAAGGTCACGGTGTACTTCTACTTCGACTTCAACGATGTTGAGAAACAAGATTCGGCACTAATGCTGCGATCGCTACTCTGTCAGCTACTGCAGCACCTGGCCAAAATGCCAAAGCATCTGCTTGAGTTGTATGCATCCAGCGGAAACGGACTTCGAAAACCATCAGTGCATGAGCTTCTGCAGGTTGCACCGCACGTAATGCGACTTTTCAACCATATTTACGTTGTTCTTGATGCGCTCGATGAGTGTACGCAACGTGTAGAATTGATGGATATGATAGTAACCGTGCTGGGGTGGCAGCTTGGTAACGTACACCTGCTGATGACCAGTAGGAGAGAGCGAGACATCGAGACATGTTTAGAGAGTTGTGTTGAAGAAGCGGACTCTATTTGTCTTCAAAGAGCTGTAGTGGATGAAGACATATCGCGATACGTTCAGCAACGGCTACGTGACGATAAGAACATGGGGAAATGGAACCAGAACGCTGAGGTCAGGCGAGAGATTGAGACGGCACTGATGCAAGGTGCTCACGGGATGTATGTCTGCGAATCTTCCATCCTGTCGAGCCAGAGCTGATAATAGTGCGGGTTTCGGTGGGCTGTATGTCAACTTGACACGTTGGCAAAATGTCGCAACCTAGCGATGTTGCGCAGTTCCCTAGCCGCTTTACCGCCGACTCTAGACGAAACATACGACCGCATTCTCACCGATATAAAAGAAAAGGATTCCATATATGCGTTACGCATCTTACAGTGGTTAGCATTCTCTGTCAGGCCACTCCATATCGAAGAAGTTGCCGAAGTTGTCGCTATCGATGTTACGCGCGAACCGGTCTTCAATCATGATGAAGTGCTCGTAGACCCGCAAGAGGCGCTGGAGATCTGTTCTGGTCTAGTCACTGTTGCCTCGAATACCTGGAATGGACAGCTATGGCTCTCCCTCGACACTATCACTCTCGCACACTACTCAGTCAAGGAATATCTTGTCTCAGACAGGATAAAGCAAGGGCCAGCGAAGTGGTACAGTATGCAAGAGGTTGAGTGCCACAAGGTACTAACGAGAGGTACGTTGGGGTACCTGAGTCAACTCCAACAACCGATCTCACGGCAAGCTCTCAAAATGTCTGTCCTGACACGGTACTCGGCAACCCATTGGTACAGTCATCTTCAAACGATAGTAGATGAAACGGAAGAAGTGAGTCGGATGGCAGTCAATGTGTTGTCAAGAGGATCTCCTGCATGTCTCACCTGGCTGCGGTTGGCTGACCCGGAGAATGACTATCCCAAGCCAAATTTCACAAGGACCTTGGAAAGCACAGCGGCACCAATCTACTATGGGGCCTTGCTGGGCGTTCAGATCACAAGACTGCTGTTAGAGCAGAACCCGGATGTGAACATAACAGGTGGAGTATATGGCAACGCACTACAGGCGGCTGCAACCAATGGACACAAGGCAGTGGTGAAGCTGCTGATCGACGCAGGCGCAGACGTGAACGCTTCAGGAGGACATTTCGGCAACGCACTCCAGGCAGCTTCAGCCAGGGGTCATATGGAAACAGCCGAGATGCTACTGAACGCTAACGCAGCGGTTAACATGCAAGGCGGATACCACAACAATGCACTGCAAGCCGCTATCCAACAAGTAGATGAGCCAATGGTCAAGCTACTGCTCGAAAGAGGTGCCGATACTGGGTTGAAAAAACGATCAAAGGGCGCTTTGCATCATGCCATCAACGACGCACGGTGTACACCCTCGCTAGCAAAGGCATTGCAGCAATTCGGGGCTCCTTTGAACACTAGCGATGTTGATAACATGACTCCACTACACTACTGTGTAAAGTTTGGCCACACGGCCATTGCAAAGCAACTCTTGGATGCAGGGGTACCGATCAACCCCGAACTACGTACACAAGCGCCGCCCGGCAGGTTTGGTGCAGCAGACAAGCGCCGAGTGAGTAGCATCCTTTCAATATCAGGATCCGCCTGCACCGCATTGCCCCCCCTACACCTCGCAGCCTTGATCGGTAACGCCACGATGATCGAGTTTCTTCTGAAGCATGGTGCCGACCCCAACGCTGTTTCCCGGTACGGTGAGACTGCTCTACATCTCGCGCTGCGCACCACGCCTCTTGGAATTCCGCCCGTAGACGATCGGCACACATTCCATGTTCCCGTGAGCTATGATAAACATAAAAAAGTACTTGATGTGCTACTAGCAGTCCCTACCCTATCTGTTACGTCATCAGATTGCAAGGGTGACAGTCCCCTGCACTGCATCAGATATGGGGAACCAAACAGTACGGAATTACTTCGAGCATTGGTCCTCAGAGGAGCTGACCCATCGAAAGTAAATTTGAGCCAACAAACTCCAATGCATCTTGCCAGTGAGGCTGGCAATTTCACGGCAGTCACATATTTACTCAGCCTTGGCATGAAAGTGGCACTGGCTGATTCCAACGGCCGCAACTCACTTCACTGCGCGGTTCAAAGCGGAAACATCGAGCTCATTATCGCCATTCTTCAGACTAGAGAGGCAGGTAACGGCAATCTCATAGCTTCGAAGGACAAGGATGGAAGAAATGTGCTCCATCAGGCTTTGTCTAACCACTATAGATCGCGCGTTCAGACAGTAGAGTTACTACTTGATCATGGAGCGGACGCACTTGATCTTGATGATACTCGAAAATCCCCCCTAGCAATATGTCTCTCGCTCCCTCGGTTCGACATGGCGATCTTCAGATCACTCCTTAAGATTGAGGAAATCGCGTCATACATCACCTATCGTGGCCAAACTGTGGGGCACTTATGCGTTAGGGCATTGGAACCTGACATTGAGATGATGAGACTCCTCAACGATTCCGGCGTCGATCTGGCTAAAAAGGACTGTGATGGAAGGACCATACTACACTGTGCCGCTATGTTTGGCTCCCTTACTGATCAGTCGCTGCAATACCTGGTCAACATCGTTGGTCTACAAGTTGACGAAGAAGACGAATACGGTCGTACCGCTCTGCAATACGCCATCGAAGCAGCTACAGAAGCTGTGACCGCTAGACAATGGGATAGAGATAAACATCAACGCACCAGGGACATCTTGGTGAGACATCAGGCTGCTCAGATTGTATAATCTCGCGTCGATATTCCCCAGAAGAAGTGTGATAGCACGATTTGGAGGAACTGAGGTGCAAGTGACGAGATCTAGAAAGCTGTGGCTAGACGATGAGCTTCTCGGCAAGGTGACCGCCAGTACGACGCTAATGAGTGGAACATCGGACGAACATTAAGAGATTTTCAGGACGGTCAGGATATCAGAAGACAAGACGGCCGCTAGGAGAATGGCGATGGGCCCCTTACTTCCCAAATGATCTCCGCACCACATCTCCATTACTGTCCTATCTCTCTTCACCACATAGAAGACAACCTGCCACCGGTCAATACATAGAGCATCCACCTTGTACTTCGGATTCGAGCTCACCATCACCAGCCCTCTGATCTCTCGATTGATCTCGCTGAACGAAGGACGAAGTAAGAGCAGACTGGGAGAGTATCTGATAGACGAGATCTGTGTCTCACTGTGTAGTAGCGCTGTGGTTTCTTGCGCTCGCGTCTTAGATATCATGCTATAGATTCTGTCTCGCATCAGACACATCACATTACCCTGTCGCATCACGGAAAACACGCGCAATCTGAAACTTGTGCATTAGGAAAATCAGATATTATGCATCACTACCACTATCTCCCTCTCACCCCTCTTACCACCCCCTTAAGCCAACGCCTCCTCCTTCCTCCTCGCCTTCGCCTCCTCAATCCCCTCCCTCCACTCCCTCCCCTTCACAGCAGTCAACCACGTCGCACCCGCCCCCGCCACCAGAAATCCCGCGCTGATGGTCGAGAACCAACCCACGCCAATCGCCCTCACAGCCGGCAAACACGCCGCACTCCCCGCCGCCGCAAACATATACCGCATAAAATAATTCCCCGCCACAACCTCCGCACTCCGCCCCTGCATAACATCCAAACAATACGTATTCAAACTCGGAAAACAAAACAGTTGAGCCACACCCTGCAGAAACATCATTACAACCGGCAGCGCGATGCCTCCAACCCTTTTCTCGACGCTCCACCCGTAGACGAGCATGCAGGCGGGTATGACGCCGCCGAGGAAGAAGACGCAGGAGCGGAGCCGGTCTTCGGAGACGCGGTGGCCGCGGCGCTGGATGTATTTTTTGACGATGTGGTCGGCGTAGCGGCCGCCGAAGAAGGTGCCGAGGAGGTAGCCGCAGCCGGGGGCGATGTAGAAGAGGCCGGATTGGAGGGGGGATTGGAGGTTGAAGCGGGGGTTTAGGACGTAGCGGATTGGGGTTAGGAGGGAGTACATGTTCCACACTAAACTACTACTCGCCAGTGCCGTTAAGAGGATATTCGGGTAACGATATAGTTTGATGACGCGGAACGGGTTTAGCCATTGCCACATCTTGTGGGCGCGTTGTGCAGCGGGGAGGCCGACGAGTTCGTCGGCGCGTTTGGCGTGGATGGTTTCGGGTTGCAGGAAGAAGCAGAAGAGGGTTGCAGCGCCGGCGAGGGCGGTCTGCAACCAGAAGATGTCGCGCCAGGAACGAAATGTTACGATTATGCCGCCGATGAAGGGGCCGAGGGCGGGGCCGATGAGGGTGCCGCTGAGGAACCAGCCTAGGGCTGTTGCGCGCTCGGTCTGTGGGGTGTGTTAGTAGGGGACGTGGTGGGGGTGAGAAGGTAGGTGGTGTGGTGTCTGAGTTGTGATGGACGCTCGTGGCATACGCAACTCTCCAAGTCGACCGGGACGTCACCATCCATATTCAGGGAAGGGTATACATACCGGTTTATATATATCCCCAATAACCGCACTACCGATTACAAGGAAAGCCGTGCCTTGAAACGCAGTCAAAATCCTAAACACAAAAAAACTCGCCAAATCCGGCGCCAACGCCGTCCCAATCGAAAACGCAGTAAACAACCCCGCGCTCACAACACTGACCCACTTCCTACCATAAATATTGCCATACGGACCGTAGAAACAAGGCGACAACCCCATAAAAAGCATATACAAAGCGTTGGAAACATTGATAATACTGCCATCAGTACCAAACGTCTCCGCAACCTCAGGAACCGCAGACAACACCGTGGTCGAGGAAATGGGGGCCAGGAAACTGCAAAAAGAGACTACGGCTACAATGACCATTTTGCGGCGCTCGGTGAATTTGTTGTAGATGACGTCGTTGTCGCCGGTGGCGATGTATTGGACGTTGGCCATGTCGTGGTGGCTGACGGAAGAGACTGTGCGTTGGAGTTGGAGAGGGTCTTGGTTGTTTTCGTTGCTGCGTGGTTGTTGGGGGATGATGGAGGCGTATTCGGTCGTCTTTTCAGGTTCGGCAAAGGAGGAGTTGGTGGGTAAGTGTTGGCCAGCGGGTGCTGAGGAGGATGTGGAAGAGGGTGCCATTTTGTGTACTCATAGAAGGCGAGATGGTAGAGTGGATACTGGTTTTGGTGAAGGAGTCGGGAGGGGACTCGTGCTGCTGGTCAGAGTGTTTGCAGCGACATTCGAGATTGTTGGAGAATGCGAGAAGAGAGAGAGCAGGTGACGAGAGACGTTAGATATGTTCACGATTAGAGTACATGTTGGGCTATCTTCGTGCATTAGCGCTCCTGCAACGGCTTCATATCCGCGGGTGGAGACTGTCGCTGCCCAAGGAGCGTCTTTTCCGTGAAGATTTTCGCCTACATCGTGTCGAGATGTTATATCCGGTGAGTGGAGTAGCCGACATGGGTGTCGGGCTAAGAATGTCCGGTCGGAAACTTTGCCGCCGACGATGGAAATGCTCCGAAGTATGCTGCATGCGCGTACCAAGTATCTTCTCGAAGATGTCGATACACTACAAGAGTAGTTGTAAGATAGTGCACGCCTTGTGAGTGCTAGCCAATACTGACCTCGGCACATGACTCCTTGGCATACCACCTGCAGACTTTCACATGCATGATGCAGACGACCATCTCGAGTGAGCTCAGGCGAAGAGCCCGCAAATATATACGTGTATTCGTAAGCCATGCGACAGGCCAAATTTGTACCGTGAAAGATTCTAGATAACCCAAACGTGGATCTTGCGGTGAGATCTCGTGTCCTGAACGCCGATGATGCAGTTGCGCTTTTCAAGCAAAGTAACCCTCTCCCAGCTCATATGCTGAGCTTGTCTAGACTCAGGCGGTCGGCGCTTCTGTGTCGCTTAACCATGCCCAGCTTGTAGAACTTCTCCTCGCCCGTCGCTGTTCGCCCGCCGATGTACCACTTCTCGGCGCCCATGGCTTCGTGGAAGCCTTCGGATGAGCTGTCGGAGCCCCGCCTACCTCGACGCGACGCGCCGGGTATTGGGAAGGCTTGGGCTTTGGGTGATGTGGAGCGGTTGTAGGGGGCCGTGTGCTGTCGGGTGGGTTGGAAGTGGCCTGTCGCTTGGACGGATACGGTTGTCGCACCGGGCGACGGGGAGCGCGTCTTTGTGGTGATGGTCCGTGACGACGCGGCTGTTGTGTCGACGGTGTTGTTTTGCTGTGAGGTGGTGTTTTGCGAATACGAGGCCACAGACGCTGCTTGCGAGGCCGTGGTCTTCTGGAGGTTGGGCTGTTGCGCGCGGAAGGCAGCGAGGAAGCCGCCGAAAAAGGGGCGGTTGGTGGTCATGGTGGTATCGGAGGGTGTCTGATCTGGTGAGGGTCGCTGGTGGCTCTGGGGCATAAGATGGCGTCTATAAACGTCGAATGCTAGCGGCGGTGTAGAGGTGTGTGGTGTGTTGGCGGCTCCGCAACGGCGTTTCGTGCAGCGACCAAATAACAACAGCACAGGCGGCGCTCCGACTGCGCCGTCAAGCTCGGGCTCTGCGACGTTTTCTATTCCATGCGCTGATCCAAGGGGAAGCCACGGAACAGGGGCGGGTCGTGAGTGATGGCTGGTGATGGTTGGCGATTATCGGCGCGAATGTGCGTGTGACGTAGGCGAGCTGCAGCCGGGGTGGGCGTCTACGCGTCTATATGTGAGGGTATGCGGTGCCGTTGATGTCAGCGGGGTAGGCGGCGACTGTGTTTATAGGAGACTGGGGGGAGATGGCGGGGGGAAGGAGGTTTGGCAGGTTTGGCGCGTCGGACCGTTGCTGGAGAGGAACATGTCGGAACCCGCGACGCACCTGACAAGATCAAAGTGCGCCTCCCGAGCGTCGACCGAAGCCATACCCAATGTCTTCCCTACTAACAACCACCATTCCAAGATAGCGGAGCCATCGACTTCACCCACGATGCGCTGTTTGGCCTGGCTGTCTGGGTCTCGCTTCGCCATGGTGTGCAGCTCTGACAGATCCACGGCCGCTGAATGGCCGCCCACATCGCAACGGCCACCTACGCCGCCAACCACGCACGTCTCCAGAGCTCGTTCGCATGCCGTTATCCCACTTGGCCTTATCGAGGCAAATCATCGTGCACCATCAAGTAACGCCCAGTAGTCGACCGTCATGCTCGATATGCGATCGCGATGTCCTGTTGTGTCGCCGGCTATTACCTGCCGCATTCTCATAGAGGTGTGAACCCGAGTAGTTCCGATGGCCCAGAACACCCACGAGGAACATGCGCTTTGCAACATCTAGCATCTCATACGACGCACGACGGTTGAGCTAACCCTCGTCATCTCTGTCCATACCCACCAAAACGCGGGGTAGTCCGAGAATTAGCCCGTCTTCCCCAGATCTGGATATCACATAAAGAGTGACACGGCATTCTTCATGGCGCCGGTGCTCACACCTTCGTTGACATGTGCGAACGCATATGATCGGCATAGCATCGTCACGTGTTGTAGAGCCGCTTGGTGACGTAGACATGTGTAGACTCTCTCGGATCACAACCGGCAGATAGGTCGAGCATAGCGGCACATCGCTGCACGACAGAGACTGATCAACCTCTAAGGACAGTCTCGCCGTACACGAGCGTCATGGCAATCCAACTGCTTCTGCCATGTGCTCCTCAGGCAACCAATCAGCCCCGTCAGCCTTATGCACGGGCCTCGCGTCCCCTCTATCAGGCAACCCTTTGCGTGGCGCAACTATCACCAACACCCTCCTCCAACTGACTTCTTGCGACTGCTTTCTTTGAATCTTGTGTAGCCGTTTAGAGCCTTCAGTCACCGTACGACATCTTCCCATTACATCGCTATTGTTATGGCGACATTCTCTCTCCTCCCCACCGAGCTCGTGGAGTACATCGTATCCTATCTCGCTCAACACGACATTTACGCTGTTTGCCGGGTCAGCAAGAGTCTTTCAAATCTAGCCATATCATTTCTGTATCGCCATGTTGATCTTTTCATACCACCTGGCAACAAACTCCCCAGGATCGATCGCTTCTGCCTAAACATCATCAGCGACAGCCGCAAAGCCAACAATGTCGAGTCAGTCCGCCTGGGACTGTCCCCAAGCGAGGATGTCAAACAAGGTCAGCGGTGGCTGGCGCCAGACAAGACCTTTGACGATAAACAGATGTTTCGAAAAGCCATGGTTGCGTTGAGTGACGAGACGTTGGTAGCTGCCGGAGACTATCTGAGAGACGCCATCTACATGCGCGAGTACTCTGCCTATGCAGCGCTCGCCCTTCTCATCCTTCCCAAACTCCGTCGACTCGACGTAGCAGACTACAAGCAGGCCACCTTCGACCACCTCCACAATGTCCTCCGCAATCTCGACCCCGGAACTCTTTGGAACCGGCGCTATCCATCGCAGGTTCTTCTTGATCGCCTCTCATCTATCAAAGAAGTATCCCTCATGGTTGACCGGAAGACTGGGATTTGGTATCCAGGAGACAACAACCGCAATCCAATCGGCCACTTTCTGAACATCCCGGGCATTGAGAAACTTGAACTTTTCAACCTCGGTGGGCAGTCGCATGCACATGGCGTGGCTATATCGCACTCAATGATAGCTTTCCCGTCAGCTACTAACATCACTACGTTGGTATTCCGACACTCGGGTGCCTTTAACCGGGGTCTGAAGTCGTTGTTCCAATGCACGCCGAAACTAAGGTCTCTTACATACGACTCCTACTTCAACGCCCAGGCACAGACTACCCAGCGAGGAGATCTGCTCATGGTCGACGCTTGGAACGAGCACCTCAGGCCCCTGCAGTCCACCCTGGAAGTTCTAGTCCTCACCGCGGAATACTCCGACCCAGACGCCTTCTTCTTCGCCCAACCCCGCATCGGCAATAGACTCTGCGGCTTCCTTGATCTCACCGAGTTTACCGAACTACATACACTTGAGGTCGCCTTCCCCTTCCTCACTGGCGACGTCGACTTTTCCATCAACAAAGATATCTACCCTCTCTTCCCGCCAAACCTTCGCCATCTCACGCTACGCCCAGATCTCTCGCACGCCCAACTTCCCTTCCCCTTCGACTCCTCCATCCTACCCAACGGCCTCACATTCGAAGAGACAAAACAGGAAGCGCAGTGTCTGATGAACGCCCGCATGGACGTATCCTACATGTTCCAAGCCTCCCTCTCCCTCCTCGACTTCTGGCCAACTCTAGAATCCATGTCTGTCTGGCAGCCTGCTGATCCTTCGCTTGAGTGGTTCGACGGCCAGATTGAAGACTTTGCGACGACGTGTCGGAATAAGAATATCACGGGTAGGCTACTGAAGCCCATGTTGCTGAGGTGGAAGAAGGCGGAGCATTGGGATTTGATGAGGGAGACGACGCTTTTTGATCGGAGTGATCCGCAGTTGGGGAGCGTGGATAGGTTTTGGAGGGCGGAGTGGGAGGGGAGGCCGCTGGGGATGGGGTGTCAGTATCATTTGGGTGCGCTGGCGAAGGGGAAGGTTAAGCTGCGGAGGTAAGAGTTTGATGGACAATTCGAGACATGTCTCGTACACCCTTCTCGCACTTTCTTCCGCGAAAGAAAGAAAGTTTCTTTTCTCAAGCACTCCAATGCAGTCCAAGACAAGATCTCACACAACTTCGATTGCTCTCAAGCAAACTCTGCCGCATAATAGCTTCCACCTCGGCATACTCAGGCACCTTCATCATCTCCCTCATCACCGTCAGCACCGATACGAACGACCATGGCCACCGACTACGACTTCTCCGACGAGTTCACCACAGCTCAATACCTATCCCCCGGACGAGGCCCCATCCTCATCGAACACAACCCCCCACCCCCACCAAATCAGCCCCTCCTGCAAAGAATACTCCACCAAGCAACACCCCAGCTGTCTACAGACACCATGACCATCTTCGTTGTCCTCGTCCTCACCTCGGTCTTTTGTCGCTACTGCAGGGCCCTCATCAACGACTGCTGTAAACGCCGTGTGAAGCCGAGAGCCGTCTGGTGCCCCTTTATATACGGTCTCATCTTGTTTGTCGTTATAAAGGGGATTTGGGATGTGAGAATGTTGCGGGGTCAGCTTGGGGAGGTGTACAGGGCTTTGAACATGTGTGTGGCGATGGCGACGATGCCGCCGGAGAGGGGGATGGGGATCGTGGGGAGGTGGATTCATGAGGATGGGTAGGTGGGGGAAGGGGGCGTGTGTGGGTATGAGGGATGTCTTACCTCTTCCCGCTTTTCCATCCAGACATGGCCGGCCGGCTTTGCGACATGTCGAGACAATCTCAGAGAATGTTTTACTTTACGGTGAGCAAGCGATATTGGTAATATGATAACTATAAGAGCAAGTGCTCGACCGGGTATCTTCATCCTGCGCATCCAATTAACGCAGCTTTGAAGATCAACACACTAGCCCGAAAACACTTCTTTCAACATCAACCAAGTCGAGTACAAAATGCCGTCCTATTACCAACACATACTACAACAACTCCCCTCACTCATTGCAACCATTCTGCTCGCTTTGATCTTCCGGAAAATCTTCTACAAGTATCTCAACACTGCCAGGAAGCGCAAGCACGCACTCAGAGTCGTTAATATCAACATTGGTATCATCTTTCTCCTGTATGTTGTCGGTAGGAATGCAGTGATGGTGGCGGAGATGCAGGATCAGCTCAAGATGGAGGGTATATTGGGGAGGTGCATGTAGTAGAGGTAGTTGGCGGAGGTCTGGGGGAGATTTGGACAGCGGAATCTGAAGACGGTTTACAAATGTGTACGAAGGGGTGTGGAGAAGAAGCGGTGGTTGTTCGAGAGGATTAGAGAGATAACAGGAAGAGTTCAGACCGAACGCGCGAAAGATGTCAAAGTTACTTTGTACTAGATGCCTTCCTCTCAGCAAGAATGCGAACATGCGTTACACTCTCTCCTGCTTGTGCGACGCCCCTCATCGCCTTCACGTACCCCAGATCGCCCTCAACACTCGCATCCAAAGGCCCCAATATCCCATCTCACAACTCAGCAACATCTGCTCCGTCTCAGCTAACTGAACGCGCAGTTTTCCTACTTCTAGCATCCCGTGAGCAAAGGCGTAGATAGTGAGCGCCATGACACAGCTGCAATTGAGCGCACCCTGATTCGGCCCCTCGTCCCGCAGCCGATAAAGGTATATGAATGCGAAGAAGTAGACGAATAGAGAGACAAGTACGGCATAATCGAGGAACAGATGGAGGAGTTGGGTGGTTGTCATTTTGTATCGTGTTTTGGTTGGGGTTGCGGAAGAATTTGGATACCTACCTAGGTAGGTAGGCGAGATTGAATAGCCCGGGCTGTAGAGACGGGCGGTCGTGATAATGGTGGTATTAGGCCGGGCGCTCACGAACTACGCCTTTTAATGTATGCGAGAGTAACGCAGAGTTTGCTAAGTCTTTGTTGGCGGTGTCGTAGGATACCCGCGAAGCGGTTGTGAGCCGTTCCGGCGTTTGTAGAGTGTCAACTTTGAGAGGATATCTTTGATGGGAACAAGGAGATGTTGTTTTCTTGAGAACCACAATGTCTGACAAGGCGAAGATGTATGGTATTTTGCTTCCGTAAAGTAGCTACCAGGTGGGAACTACATAATGCATCGTAACTGGAAACGAGTTGCAGCAAGCGTCGGATTGACGCCGTGTTCATACAAACGTGTTCTTGGTCGTCAGTCCTAAACGCGACCGTCACTACGAAGCCACATAACCGCCCACCTTGATTCTCTACTTACCGAGCACATCAAAAGCTCATTCTACATGTTCAACACAATCATTCAGTCCCTGTGGTACTTCTCCTTATGCTCCTATTGAACTTCCATTAGCTTCCGCCGCTCTTCTTCGCACATCCTACACCTAATCCCATTCTCATACTTGTGATGACATCTCGTGATTTCCCTATCCGACCACGCCAACTGGTGCCGTAGCTCCGTGTCCTCCGATAAGTCACCTACATAAACGCAGATAGCGAGAGCAGATGCAAGAGTAGCAAAGAACCAAACTACATCACGTTCTAGAATAGCTTTTTCGTAAAGAGAGATGAGCATGACGAAGACAAGGAGGAGCCAGAGGAGGACGATGGTTTGGAGGAACTGCCAGATGAGGTGTGTGGTAGGCATCTTGTGATAGGTTTGCTGGGTGGGTGGTGGGAAAGCTGCTGCCCAGGTGGTTTGATTGGGTGCAGGAAATGATTGGATGGATGAATAGATGGCGGTTTGTCGTGGTGGTTAGAACTCAGATAGATATTTCGCGTTGAAAGGTCTTTATGGATGCGACGACGGGGGAAGAGGTTTGCTGGCGTCTCTTTCGCAGTGGTGTAAGGTCTTGTCTGGGTGCATATCTACACAGTGGAGCAATCATCCTATCTTCCAGTTTGAGCGTTGTTCCTTGACGAGAACAAGACATCAAAGTTCTCTTGTTAGCTACAACCGTATTCTAGTGCAACAACGCGCGTCAGATCGCTCCCCAAAGGCATCTGCAGTACAAGTTGCTCAAAGCGAAGTTATTTGCGCATGTTAGAAAGCAAGAGGAGCAAACCTTGAACTGATTCTGCATCTATACCATCCGTCGTGTCAGTATTCACCCTCCGTCGTCATCCATCTCCAACGATCCCAGCGAAGCCAAGCCCTCACCCACACTGTCACACGCTCATCTCAACTACTCAAACACACCAAAATCTCATCCGAAATGTCAGATACAACCATCCACTTCCTGATCTACCTCATCTTCGCCCTAGCCACACTTTCCAGAACCGTCAGACAAGCCATCTCCAACGGCCACACTTACCAACAGACTATGCAGAACCTCAGAATAGACTTGCCCTATGTCGTGGCATGTGCCCCAGCGTTTGTTCTGTGCTACGTTATCACTATTGCTGTCAAGAGAGCAGTGGGTGAAGAGAATATGGGACTGAGCATGATGCGTTGGTTGTAAGATGAGGGGGGGAGGTGGTGGCATGTCGGATGCTATGGAGACCCGTGAGATGGAGGATGTTTATGAAGGACGATATCGGCGAGACGACTGGAGAATGAGACTTTGCAAAGTCATGCGGCGGTTTACGTATGCAAAGGTCGAGTGTATAGCGAATTTGAGACGAACTGCTACATTTTTGGGGTTCTGCTGTGCCTTGCCGTCTCCGTGTGATACACCGGTTCGTGATAGGATTAGTGCGTCGCTCGACTGTATGCGCTGGATGAATTATGCCATGCAACAGTGAACTCTGATATATCTCTTCGTTCTACATCCTAACGGGGAGAGAGTTCTAGTCATGCGGGAATACTTGTAGAATGCCAGAGTGACTTTTAAGGCTGCTAATCTCTTTGATCTATTTGGCTTGTTCAGAGTACAGCAAACTCGAACCTATAAGTTTAGCTATGTATATCAACAAAAGCATCACGGTAACACCATTTCGTGGCCCACATTCTAAGCTTTATCATGTCATCGTTCACCATCACAGGACTGATGATTCTTGCAATCTATTCCTCCCGCTTCCTGGTCAATAACATCATCCACACCCCACTACTCATCGTCGTCTATCCGAAATGGGCCAAATTTCTATCGCTGAGCGTATCCGTCCTCGCCGTGACCGCAGCCTATCAACTCCACACAAGTAACCGAGCCGTGCAAACATGCAGTCATATGCTTCATACATGCGGACATAATCTCAACGTCACTACTCAAAATAACACCGTTCTAGTAACCAAGCTAGAGAACAGGCCAATGAAGGGAGTCGCCGCTCTAAGAGCTGAACTAAGCAAATGCGAGACGGAGAAGAGCGGACTGAGATGGTTCCGTGATGATTGCCGCGCGCATTGCGAGGAGCATGGGCAGGATGTTCTGTGGGACATTGGGATGAAAGTAGATGCTATGTTTGGGGAGATGAGGGAAGTGGCTTTAACGGGTGGGAAGGAGGATAGGAAGGATAGGAAGGGTGATGAGGTAGAGAAGGATGAGAAGAAGTAGAGAGCGGATTGATCGACGGGGAGGTGTGCGGATAGGGCGATAGGGGCCGGGTGGGCGAGCTGGGAAATTGTAAAGGCGATCCTAGCTGCCTTTTCCGACCTGACTAGTTGTATAGAGGGCATTGATTATCTGTGCTCCATCAAGTTGATGCTCGTTCTTTCTAAGGTTGTCCTCGTTTCTTGCTTCGTAATCCTTAGCAAAGAAACACCAGGGCTACTTTCGAAAGGAGAGAAGCAACTAGTGACTCAGAAGTGATCAGAAGAAGCAGATTGAAGAACGAAGAAACGACTACTAAGTTCGGATCGCTGGGTTGAGTTCCTGCTCATTAGATCTCACTCTCTCCTTCCCCTTTCCTCTCCTCCCTCTTCCGCCTCCCAGCATCCCAAATCCCTTCCCTCATACCTTCTGGCAAACAATCCGTCACCTTCACTAGCCAATCATCCTCATCCCCATGCTCTTCAAAGAATGCCCACCACTTCTCAACCACCCCCTCTCGGAGCAACCTCTCCAGTTCATCATTCCGTTGCACAACGACACTGTAACTATGTTCGTACTCTTGGAGTGCCTGGTGCTTCAACTCAAGAGCATGTTTGCATGCTTGATAGGCCGGGTCGTTTATAATGTGTCTGAAGTCGTCGCAGCTGGTGAGCGTACATGCGAGACCAAGTATGACTCTCATTGCTTCTGAAGCGTGTTTACTGAAGAGGGCGTAGCAGTAGCTTGCTAAGATGATGGATTTGATGATTATGGCGTATAGTAACATGGATGGATGGAGTATGTGGTGTGTGGTACTGATGAGTCTGGGGCGATCGTGATGAGATGGCTGTGCTTGAGTTGTTTGAGCCGATTTGCTTTGATAAGGTGGATGAAGTGGAGTAGAAGAGAGGTGTTGAAGCGAAGCGATGAGGATGAGATGAAGGGTAGTGGACTTTCGATTTAGCCTGGGTTCGAATGGAAAGAAGGTCCTAGTAACAATGAAATGCTTCTGGAACGCTGGAGTGGCTCGTTGCATTCATTGATCTCTGTGGTTTAGCAAGAGTGTGTAGCAAGCTCAAATGCACAGGTATATTTACATCAACAGAAGAAAAAGAAGACATAAACCCCATCACACAACACATACCACCTCATTATGTCACGGTGGCTCGAAATCGCCGCGTCAACACTGCGGTTCGAAATAGCCGCGTCCATCACCCTAGTTCTCTTGATCATCATCTTCATCCCTCACCACATCGATCTCAATCGGCTCCTCTTACTATGGCTCCCCATCATCGCCGCACTCACCGCCATCGAGCTCTATTGGAACGACCAAGCCCTCCTCGCTTACAGCCACGACCTTCAGACATGCAATCAAGCCCTCCAGACATGCAATCACGCTCTTAATATGACCCTACAGGGAGGGATAGTACAAGCGCACAGGCACAGTCACCACATGGCTGCTGTCAGAGCTAATCTGCGTGAATGTCTAGAGGAGAGAGATGTGCTGAGACAGGAGGAGAAGGACTGCGACGCGCGTTCTAAGGCGCACGATAAAAGTTTGGAGTGGATAGATAAGATGGTAAGTGGTATGAAGGGACAGATACGAGAAGACGTTTGCGCGGCTGGCAAGAGAGGAGAGGAGGAGAGAGAAGAGTAACGGGAGTGGAGCGTGAAGTGTGCAGAGACGGATGTCGGGGTAGTGCGAGGGTGACGCGATGGAGGCATCTCGCCACACGATGCTAGAATTCGGCGGTAACTTGGAGATGGCGTATGAATTAGAGCATTTGAAGACTTTCATGAAGATACGAGGAACGTAGCCTGTCACGTAGAAGAATAGTCACGATGAAGGTCAATGTTGTCATCTTGCACGTGCCGTCGCGTGTTGTTAGCGCGAATGGCGCGTCATAGCGACCTCGGGACTTGCATCCCGCGTTATTTGACCCGAACACTTACATGAGCATCCGCAATGACGGATATCTGGAGCGGAGATATTCTGCTACCCGACGGCAATGTTATCAAAGGTACGTACCATCATTCATTGCAAATACACAGTCGCTAATCCCCACAGACGTCGGCCTCGCGTCGCAAAATGTCGCGTCTTCACCATCCCTCCCCGCTACGGCTCTGCGCTTCCTTACCACCGTCGATACTGCCAAGATACCGCTATATCTTGCCGCCGGCCCCAGTCTAGATGTATGGACGACAGAGGAAGCTACCCAGGCTTGGTTTGAGGCAGTTTTGCTGAGTAAGCCTACGTTGGCGGACGCGCCCAACACTGCCGCGAAGGAATGGTGGGACCTGGCGCGATCACAGTCGCCAATTGGATTTCTTGTACAAGTCCAAAGGGCTGAGGAAGACGGGCGAAAGCCCAGAGTGACCGAGATCCTCTTCTATGGCACCGTCGCCGCTCCTACCGGAGCTGGGCTACCCACACCACCATCCTCGTCCCCATACGTCGACAATACGCACGCCGAGTTACTCCCTGAGCTTCGAGTTCACGCACTGCCACTTTCGTCTGATCTCCTAAATGCCACCAGCATCGATCTGCCCATGGACGCCGAGCCTCAATTCCTTCCGCCGCAGCACGAGTTCCACAACCCCCCAACATCACCCAAACGCACCCGGGATATATTTGAAGAAGCGACCATAGCCAACAAGAAGGCGCGAGGAAGGGGTGGAAGAGCAGTCTCGGCAGCAGCAGCCCGCGTGAGCGAGTCTCAGCAGGCATACAGCCACCGAAAGTCGTCGCTCTCTATAGATCTGAAAGCCTCGTCTTTCTCCGACTCCAGACCAACGTCTGCTTCCGACCATCTAGCCCGCCCTTCCTCGCGCCCACTCTCGCGATCACCGAGCATAACCTCCGATTCAAGACCTCTCAGTCGAAAGGGTCAACCCGACGCGCATACCAGGCGATCGAATTTGTCGCAGGTCGCTACGGTACCCATACAGCCCGAAGAGCCAACGACCGAGTCGCGAAACAAGGACGCACTGGTCAAGGTGGTCATGGCAGCAATGCGCATGCATGGCTTGCAGCAGCGGAAACAGAACAGGTCTCGCCGCGCCTCTCTGGCTGGTGCCGAGGAGAGTCAGCAGCGGAGTGAAGAAGTAGCCGCTGAAGAGGCTGCGAAGGACGACGAGTACAAATTGATATACCACCAAACCTTCAAGGGTGCACAACTGGCACTGGTAAGACGCGTGAACCTACATATGAGACATTCGCTGACAATGTTACAGAGAAAGCACATGTCCGAGAAACCGCTACACGCCACGCCCGACAGAATGCGCGACATCGTCGAAAAGCTCCTGGCGCTCTTTCTCTCCGACCCGCTTGCGGAATCTCCGCCTCCCGAGATACCCGCGGACCCAGTTGCCACACCTGGTAGCAGACCTAGATTTGTTATACCTGGATCCACACATGGTCATGCCAGTCCATTCGACTTGCCTAGTACACAACGACGTCCTGGCATGATGAGATCTGTCACAGATAGTCATGTCTACACGGGGTCGCCTGTGAGCAAGAAGAGGGTTACCACTGGCGAGACGTTGACCGTGCCTACGTGAAGTGTTGTGCGAGGTGCCAATACTGGATACGAGGACGACCTCATCACCGTCGGCTATGATGGTTTAATCTCATCGAGACTGAATACGAACCGCGGACGCGTCACTGAGGTTCTGCAGTTGATCTATTCTTGCATGTTTCCCTTCTTGGCACCCGCTGCCACGCTTGTCACCATCAGTAAGCACTGTGGAACATTCACCAACCCTCCCAAAGCGGCAATTGTTAGAGGAAATGCCGCGATGCCGTAGTCGTGGTACAGCGATGATCTACGTGCCATTGCAGCGGAGCCTTGCGCATACGAGTGGCGTTGTAAACCGCGGAGACCGAACTCGACCCGGAGTTGCCTGAGACGGTTCGAAGGACTGTGGCTATGCGACGTTGCATCGTCACATCATCACAGGAGCGACATCAGCTATGCTGTTGCAACCATAGCCCCGTAAACGATTAGCATAGTTATAAAGACTCATCGTCGTCGGGCTGAAGCAGAAACCAACACCACCAACGCCGACAGATCTCTCATAGATCCACCCCGTTCGACCATAAAAAATACTCAAGATGCTCTCCAAGATCACCGCCCTCATCCTCCTCGCTACCAGCGCATCCGCAGCGACTCTTCCCCGAAGCGCAGACTGGACCTGGGACGTCACCGACTTCAGCAGCGTCTGCACCGCATCAGCATGCCGCTACTCCTTCAACGTCACCGCGCCCACCGGTCCCTCCGGCCAACCAGCCTTCGATGCCGAATTTTGTTCTGGCACTAGTCTCCAGGGTGGCTACAAGTCCTGCGGCGTGGTCGGCATCGATGTACCGGGCGATGTGCAGACGCAAGAGTTCAACCGCGGGAGTGATGTCGGTGCGACTGTTAGTGTGCAGTACACGTTTACGCAGTGAGTATACCCTATGTGTGGAGATGGGGGGGAGGGGGGTTGAGAATGGTGGGAGCTGACATGTGGTAGGGGCGAGGTCAGATACACGTACACGGGTAACGAGACTGTTAAGCATACTGGATTGGGTCCGGCTGTGGAGTTCAGCATTGTGCCTACGGAGGTGACTGCTGTCGCTTAAGCCGGTTGCGAAGTCGCGACGCAAGGAACGAGAAGAGGAGTAGCATGGAAGCAGCACGGCGACATGGCATACGGAACACTCAGGTAAAGATACTGCGTGTATGTGTATGCTACCTATCTACTTCTCATGATCGGTCCGGAGAGTCATGAGACCAGGACCAACATCTCTGATTCACCAACACCATCCCGACCTCTTACTTTCGTCTTTCCATCCCTTTGACGAGTACAACTCTAGTCCTACTCTTCCCGGTCTGCCTCCATCACTGCTGCGTCCTCATGCACATTGACGTTGAACGTTCCGCCTGGCGCTACATGGATATGCATGCTTCCACCCTGCGTTACATAGATGTTAGTTCGAGTTCCATAGATATGGCACGTGTCTATGTTTTGGATGTCTTTGCTTTCCGCCTTCTTTCTGTCTTCGTCGTCTGCCTCTTGCTTCTCTTCTTTATGTTCGTCTTTTCTATCGTCTTTGTTGTTGTTGCCGTCGTTGTCGGTGTTGTTGTTGCCGTCGTTGTTACCGTCGTTGTTGTCCTTGTTGTTGATGTTGTCGTCGTCGCCCCCTCCATCTTCCAATCCTTCCCCATCATCATCCCGCGCCTCACCATCTCCCGCCATATATTCAGAAACCATACTGTGTCCCACACCCTCTCGCAGTTCAATAGCATCATCTCCATCATCTTCCTGGGCTGCCGCATCGATATTCGCCAAATAACGGACCCCCAGATACAACAACGCGGTCACCACCGCTAGACTATTCGCTGCCCACCAATTCGGGAACAGGCCAAAAATTCCCAAGTCAAAAAACGCAATGATACAGTAGATTTTGATGATCCAGGACCTTTTTTCAGCAGCGTGGCGGGCAGCGCGTGTGTTGTCGGGAGGGTTTTGGTCGGGCATGGCTTGGATGGTGAAACGGATGGTGGAGGTTTTGGGCTGGTTTGGTGGTGGGTATAGGGGTAGTAGGTAGGCTAGAGATGTAAGGTTGTGGGATGGCTGGTGAGTTATGGTTTTGGGTTGTTGGAAATGGAGAGTGGTGCGGAAGGTGATATATGACGTGCACTGATGTTTGCTGTAGGAGGATGGTTGGCAATGTTGCTTTGTTGCTTGTGTATTGAGAAAGATCTAGCAGTTGCGTGTACATATTGCGCTGCGCTACTATTGAATACAATCGAAAACATGAGCTACCAGTACCTCCCCCATGTGCTTTGTATGGTAATCTCGGATGTAATTTGTTCCTTTCCATCCACGTAGATGCCCACCAACGTTTGTCCCAATCTTGTGTCCCTCTCTTAGCCTCCACTTTCATGATGATATGCATGTCGATGCCTCGACACTTCGCCGTGCTAAAGTAGTGATAGTACAAAATCAGTGTATGTATCACATGCATATTGTACACCCCTGACTTACTTATAACAATCCAGATCCAAGTTAATAACCCATCGGATAATAACCCAGCGCTCTTCTCGCCACCGGTCTCTGCGTTTTCTCCCTGAATTCCGCGGTTTCTACTGTCGTGTAAATTGTAGTCGAATACGGCGTCTCGAATCTCGAAACCCTTGTCCAAGATCTTTTATCCAGAAGCATTCCATCGGCTCCATGCCCTGGGGCATCGATAGGCGCAGGGTATGCGACCCGCTCGAGCGCCTTCATCTTCTCAGCCTCACCGCGGAGTATGGTAGAGATGATCAGGTGCAGTACCAGAACCTGTGCCAGAGCCATTAACAAATGGTCTAGCCACCGTGCCACTGTGAGGATTATGCCGTGGACCCAAGTCGGCAAGTCTATCGTGATGTTCCCGCCGTCTGCAGGGCTAGCCATGTAGTTGAACGTAACATTCGATATCTGGATAGGGACTTTGCCAGATGAGGGCAAGAACTTGAGGGCGAAGGTTATTAGTTTGATAGCGGAGGTTGCGAACGCGGTTATTGTTTCGAAGGACGAGGTAGAGGCGAGTGCGGCGAACAGTGCGAATGTGGCGAGCAGGACGATGGAAAGTTTCCTTGCTGACGGAAGTCTAACGTTCATGGCGCGAAAGGTAAAGCCAGGGCGGAGAGTAGCGTCGGAGTTGTCTTCCATGGCAAACGGAAAGATTCGGTGTACGAGGAAGTGTGGATGGGGTGACCTTAGGCCAATGATGATGATGATGGAAGTGGGATGTAACAGTATAACGATAAAGTGGGGAAGCAACTAGATCCCACAAAGGACGAACGAGATTAAATATAGCGTGTGTATACAGTAAACAGAGACGCGAGTGCGTGAGGCGCGTGCTGTTGTTAGGGAAGAGGAAGATGTCGTACATTTACCTGGCGGCCGGTATCGCACGCGAGCGCCCAGCAACACGCCCACATGGCTCCAGATAGGTGGTTAGGTTTCAAAGATAATGTCCAGATTGACTGATCTGTGCCGAATGTCTCAGGTGATGTGCTTTGCGATCGTTCGATTGCATGTAGCTGCGAGAAGAGAGCCTGCTACGCGCCTGCATGGTCAAGTATAGAGGTCAGTCTGGGCTGGAGCAGATGCGGTAGTAGTAGCGCTTCGTGCACACTGTGAAATTGAAGGCATGCTGGATACTCGGTCTTTTTCGAGCTCATCAGTCATTATGAGGGCGTTGGAGCGTTGTCGCGTCTTCACCACGCAGGGTGTACGTCCTCGCACCGGCAAATTCGGCCGCGGCAGCGACATTGCAGCGGTACAGTCACGCGGAATACTCTTTGATGCATCTCAGAAAATCGTCGCAATCTACGGCAACGTGAGATGCTTGGATGTAGACTGCGCAGATCGATGCTGAGCCAGGCTGCCGATGGTGATCTTGCACCGCAGGGCCACAGAAAGGAAGCTACGGTGGCTTTGGTGATGCTGACTAATCATGGCCCACACACGCGACGCGACGCGTCGTGTCTTCTTGAAATTCACTCATCGCGTCCTCAGCGTCAGCACACGCGCTTTTGCCGACATCACACTACGACCAGCCCGGCATCAGCAGCAGCTCAAGACCTAGCGAATTTTTTGTCATATGCGGCACGTCATGTGACTAGCATCGTGCGATGAGTGAGAAATACATGCGGCTTCCTCAATAATGGTCACCACGGACTTGCGATCAGAAGAGATTTGGTCACCACATTACATATCTGTCCATCGCCTACCCAGATGTACATCAATATCTCACTCTGTTCAAGGGAACAGATGATACCCACCAAACGTGGAACCCAGAAGTCTAAATCCTTTCAGCGTGTCGTCGAGCATTGTTCTGCGTACTAATACAGCCCGCAATCCGCCTACTCGATATCTTCATTTATGAGATCGTCCAGCGGATATGGCACAACAACACCAAGTCGCCCATCAGCTAAGTGCATAGCTCAGTACTCGACATACCACGCGCGATGCAACCTTACATTATCCAACCGGCCCTGCACCGCTCCGCAAGTAACAGTTTTATCACCCTTTTGAGGATCGGCCGCGAAGTCCAGTTCTAGACCACCTCCGCACTTGAGAAACCCAGGACTGTTAGCACTGGATTCGAAAGAACAGTCTTCCTCGCCATCGATCTTAAGAGGCCACTTCTTGCCCGCCGTCACATAAGGTGGATCGTGGATATTGGCGTCGTTCTGATACATGTCCTTCTCAAATTTTTCTTCGTCAATGACAGCATCCTTGAAGCGGCCATCGTCGACACAAAGTTTGACTGGTACACCTAGCGGGCCCTGGTAGATCTGCCACCACTTGCTGGCACCGTAGCCAGCCAGCAAGATCTGGATCGAATGGGTGGCCTTTGGCTTTGATGGAGTCGGAGCTGGAGCAGGTTTAGGTGGGTAATCGATCTCGAGCTTCTCTTTCACTTTCGCCATGATCGCCTTGGCCATCTCACGGTAGCCGCTCTCGGTTGGGTGGAAAGGTCGAAGTGTCAAACCGGGGTAGTTCTGCTGATACGGGCCAATCATGTCGAGCCATTGCAGGTTATCCGGATCATCTGCGACGGTTACATCGTTGCCCGAATGGAGGGCAGCAGTCAAGTTGAACTCGATCTCGCGAGGGTCGTCGGTGAATCTACCGGTCTCAAGCCAATGCTCGAACTCGGCTTGCGTCGGCTGGCGTCCCTCCTCTGCATTACCATCGCCATCGTCTATACCCCCCACCATTTCGCCCTGCCAACTAAAGATACCACTTGGAGACATGTTCCAAAGATATACATTGTCGCCAAAGTATTGGTCATACAGCGTGTGACCAGGTTGGCAAAAACGGTGACCTTCAAGATGCTGGTCGGTATCGACAAAAGTCGTCCGCTCCGGATGGAAGCTGCCCTTGACTGCATCCTCGATGGCCTTGTTCAGGTAACGAATAAGCGCATTGATGCGCTTCCTCAAAGCAAGACTAAGCCTCGGACGATCACTAGACCGCAGGCCAAAGCTCACATTACTACACCAATCGCCCTCGCCACCCTCGTCGAAGAAGAACTGGAAGTAACCAACCACGAAGAGCCGGAACTTGGGGTTCTTCTTCACTTTAGGATGGTCAAAGACTTGATTGACAATCCACCGCGCGTCCTGGAAAAGCTGGTCGCGCCCTGTACCCAGAATGTACTGCTTCGTAGCCTCGAGTTCCTTGAAACACTGCCCGTTGGGATCGGGGTACTCGGGACCGTAATCTGTTCCTTGCGGCGCGAATATACACGCGTATGCGACACGAGCGAAGTTTGCGTTGTTGCCGCCGGCCTGTAACACGATCATGTCGACGTTGTCGGGGACGTCGTTCAGCTGGATATGGCCCAGATGCGGCTCGGCGTCGATCTGCCGCCAGCGGGTTCCTGAACAGGACTGGAAGTGAAACTCTTGTTCGCGGCCTTCGGGGATCCAGGAGTTATCGCGGCTCATTTGCGGGGCGTACGCGTGGTTGATGCGGAGGCAGTGGTCCATGTTTCCGTCGTAGTCGGTGGTTCCGAAGAAGCCGTATGAGACGCCGCTCTACACTGGGTTCAGCGAATGTCTCCGACGATCGATGCGACCGCGAATTCAGGTACTTACCGCCCATGAGTCGCCTAGACCAGACCAAACGTACTTGGTGGAAGTCACGTTGACTTCCGTGTCGGCTACCACTGTTGTGTTCTCATAGAGACCTGGAGCCGGGCCATCGAGAGGTGCTGCATATGGTGTACTAGCCATGGAGGCTGTCGACAGAAGAAAGAGTAGCCACTGCATTGTCGAGAGGATTTAGGGTCTAATCGGATGGTTGTCCACGGATCTAATCACATCTAATGGCTGAGTCTAGCACTAACAAGTAGTCTGAAGTTCAGTCAACACTTGAAGTAATGAGGAGTGAGTACTTGTTAGTAGCGGAAGGGTGGGTCAAGCTAACTGCATTGGTGAGGTGAAGAGTGCAGGCGACGACACCAGCCCCGGGCTTCGCCGCAAGGATCAAGACTATGCCTCGGACAAAGAACCAATGCTGGGAAGGTCGACAAAACACTAAATCCTTGACGATCGTCCGCGCGAGACCATGAGGACGACAATACAATTACTCAACTACATCGGGTATGCAAAAAAAGCTCGAACAGTGCAAAACACATCATCCGCCCTTCATTAGTCCCGTCATGACCAGACGTAGCCCCACGCAAAAGACAAAAGATGTGAGAAAAGCGGGTCTCACTGCATCTCCTTCCCTACCGCCTCACCAACCTGATCGAACGGCCCAAAAGGATGCTGCTTACGCTTGAAGCCAATCTTCACGCGACCAACACGCTGCATCTTGTCTTCGAACTGGGTCCCCATACGCAACACTGTCTCTCTGTACATCGTCGCGGTGGTCCAGTCGTAAGAACAGCCGATGATGCGCTTCATACCGCCTTCAGAGCCAGCCATTAGGAAGCACACGGGTGGACGCTCGGCGAGGAAGAGCGTTGCAGTCATGTTGCCGGTGTCGACGAGAGTAAAGACGCGTTGCTCGCCTGGTCCAGCAGTCTTCGCTCGTTGTACGAGTGCTGCGACAGCAGGGTCGGAAGTCGGGTCAACGGGGACGCACTCGCCGTGAATGTTGCGATGATGCCTCGACAAGGGACTAGCTGCAGCCTAGTAAAGTGACAACGAATTAGCCTGGCGGAGCAAACAAGATGAGAGCATACATACAGTCCACTTCATGCGCCCAAGCCTGCCACCAAAGATCTGGCTCTCGATCGTGTCAAGGTCCATGTAACCTTCGAAGCCAAAGAACCAGCATTGCTGTTCCCAGAACTTGCCAAGGAAGAGAAGGCGTAGCAGCCATGGTGATAGGCCCATGACCACCAAGGAGTAGAGTAGCAAGACGACGCCGATAGTCTTCGAGGGATCAGGAAAAGCGACAAGCACGCATGCAGCAATAAAAATGACACCGCTGAGACGCAGCATACCCTTCGCGAGGAAGCGCTTCCAGGAGTCGCGCCGAGTGTGAGCGACAGGTGTAAAAGACTTCCACCGAACGTTCGCAGCCCGACAACCATCAAGAATGATGCTGTCGTCTTCTCCAACACCGGCGATGCCGACATCCTGTGGCAGTATGTCCCAGAGCTTAGCGTTGTACGCGTCGTCCATTGAATGCCAGGGCTGGTCTGGATGTTTGGGCAACATGCAGATCAGGCGTTCAAGAAGCTGATCGCTGCCATTTGCAAGAGAGAGTCTACGAGATGTTAGCAATGCGACGAGTGACTGCAGTTGAGGTACGACATACCGAGCAAATGCTTGGAAAACAGAGTCCGTGCGATCGATTTGCGGCCTCACACGGAGCAAGCCCATCAATGCGTAGCTGTGATCTCCGGGAAGATGCTCGGTGGTGTCGCGATTGTGCAAACATTCGAGTGCAAGCGTGACCAGCTCGAGCTGGCTGAGAATCAAGTTCCCCTCGTAATGGTCGATGAGCTGCGGGGATTAGCTGTCATGTAAATGTCGGTGTTGGAGGCCATCTTACCTGTCGCGCGATGTGTGCATCGTTCTGCCAGACGCGGGCAGCGAACTGGTTCTTTGGCACCTGCAGTGGCTGCGACAGATCGCTGTCACGCACGTAGACGCAGATGTCTTTGCCAGCGGGCGCTAAGAGGACTTCAGGAAAGGTCCATACCCGGTAGCCCCATTGTTGAAGCATGAGATCAGGTGTGTTGATCTCATAACGGTTGTTTGCTGGAGGGCACACGGCGATTGCAAGAGATTGCGCGCCTCGAATGACGTCACATATGCGATAGACCTCCAAGCTGTGTTAGCGAGGGTACAACCATACGAATGGGCTATGTGCTTACATCTTCCTCGAGCTGGTTGTCGGGCATGCAAGAGCACCCCACCCAATACGCAATAACGCCGGCATTGCGCGCCGCTACGTCAGCCATCTGGTGTAGAACACCGAAATCCTCGGGCGTGTTGAACTGCTCAGCGGTATACGCGATGAAGACGTAGGACAGATCGTGAGCATCATGTTGAGCCAGCCTGCAGATATCAGAGATGAACTAGCGGTACGGCATTGTTGACCTACCAATCGTCGACCTTGGTGATGATGGCCGGCCTTCCTGCCTCTCGCAAGAAGCAAAGGTATCGAGGACGCAGCACACGTTCGGCAACAGGATTAGCTTGGCTCGAAGCATGACCTTGGGGCCTGTGCATCTCGATCGCGTTCTTAGCGACCTTGGGATATCCGAAGTACTGGTATGGCAGGCCGTCGTAGCTTCCACCGTTGCGAGACGCGATCTCAGCAGGGCTTGGACTGGAGATCTGGATCATTGTTAGTTAAAGTACCAAGTTGCGGATGGAATGATCTCACAAAGATCGTGATGAAGCAGGATGCGACGAACCACTTGAGACAAAGCATAGGAAGGTCTTCGTTAGGGATGTTGCCGTGATTGCGCGCGAAGTCGATGTGATTGAACGGCCAATTCGCCAATCGCATGTAGATAGGTGCGACGTTGCGGACGAAGGTGCGCCTGTAGGTAGATCCTGTGTTATTCTCGTAGATGTCGTCAACAGCTTGTACGACAAGCTTGGAAACCTTTCCGTCCCAAGATGAGATGTAGCGGTCATCGTAGTCACCAGTCCATTCGCGGTCAAAGATGTCTCGATGTCGGTGCTGGCTAAGCTTCTGGTACGCAAGACCGGGCTTGCGGTAGAAGTTGGGGCGATCCCACTTCATCGTAGTCCATGGGGAGAAGATATGTGCATATCCCTTGGGAGCGATTAACCCGTTCCGCTTGATTGCGTCAGCAGGTGACAGTACTCCAAATTCCGAGCCTCATACCTCTATCACTGACTGTCCTAGACGCCTCTGATTGGCCTCATGGTCGTCTTGGGAGGCAGGGAGATGTCCATATGGTGCAACTTCGCGGACGGATGCCTGAGCGTCATTGCCGACCATCTTCGCCATCACGCAAGTAATGCTAGGCAAAGCAAGCACACAGTCGATTTACAAAGCTTGACTGCTGGTTGGAATGCTGGGGCGGCGGTTGTTGATACTGTTGATAGGGCTGATGATAATATTCACCTGGTGCCTATGCATCTATGAGAAAGGCATGGAGAACGAGGAAGCGGAAACGTACTTGAGGCGCGAGCGTGGGCTGTGGGTGTGGGACTGGTTGGTGTTGCACAACGACTGCAGGCTTCAGAGTAGTGTTGTTTGGGTCGTAACCACCTCCGCCGCAGTGATGCGATTGCGTCTAGTAAAGGCTGTCAGGCTGGTGTCATGAAACATTGGGTCTGGAGCGAAGACATACCGGATAGTATTGCTGATGCGACGGTACTTGCTCGGATGTGCCACTGCTAGGATCGAAGCCACCTCCGTGTCTTCCAGAGAGATTTGGAGGGTAAGCCTTGAGATGGTTAGCGGGTGATCGACGTGGAGGCCGGAGAGTCTTTGTACCATTCAACGTCGGTTTATGAAACTGAGCGGCGGTAGTCTTGAGCCTGCCCTTTAGAGACCTTGAGGCCGGCGATCGTGTCTAGTCTTATCAGGTTCAGGTCCGTTAATAGAATGTGGTCAGGTGGCACGAGGGTATAGCGCCTGCCTGGACGCGCGCATTTTTGGAGTCGTTGCTTTTGACTGTATCCTGGACTTCAGCTCAAAATTCACCTTTCTTGGATTGGCCATTCTCTCGCATTTGGACCCTCTAACTTCCACTTCACGATATCGTGGCGTTTGGGTGGACCCTGTATGCAGGAGACATGTCCAGAAAGGGTCGAGGCCTTATCGATGCGGCCTTCAGTACCACACGGTGGTGACACTCCATGTGGGTGTCAGTCATCGGACTGGATGTTGTCCATTTCTTGGCTTTGTTGGCGCGGTGGGCGACCTCGGGGACTTTGCATATCGCCTATCCTAGTCATCTGGTGTGGCTTGAAGCATTGTTCATGCGAATGTACGGTATGCGGGGCTTGCCGCCTCTTAAACGAGCGCCATGCAAACGGTGAAGAACTTGAAGTTTTGAGTTGAAGTTGAGATCTGTAGGAGCATACACAGCCTACACATCACGAAAGACGTTCGCGAGACGAATTTGTGTTATTCGGAGACATGCCTGCGCCTGAGAGGTGCAGCTGCGACATTCGCCGGGCGCAGGAATCTGTGTGATGCATCGTCCTTGGTGCACTCGAGTACCAACGGGTCTTACTGTCAAATTGAACTTGAAAGGTACCGCTTTTCGCATTCTCGCGTACAGTACCATTTCGAGGGGCTCGGCTGTTTACCAGCTGCCATCTTGGCGTCCTCAGCCTTGCGCCACCAATAGCGTAGCGCTGACGGCCTCTGCCGATAGGCTCGCTCGGACACTCCCTTCAGCTCTTGGAATTGCGTTTACCGCTTCGGACCAAAGCTGAAAAACGCCAAGTGCAGAACCGCTGGCCCGTGGCCGCATGCTTTCGTACATCACACCACGAGAGCGATGCTAGGCAGATTCTCGCTTGACAGGGTGCGCGGTTACGGTTTCGTCGAAACCAGTGGCGCTGGCTTTGCCCGCATGATTGACTGGGGCTGATGAACGAGCAGTGCAATCGGACAGACGCCCGGGTGTTGTCGCTACCAGTAAAGTACTCATGCAACGTAGGCAAGTGCTGGAGTACTGAGAGCTCTCTGCAAGTCATAGTATTCGCACTTTTACTGTCGCATTTGACTGCAATGATACCAAGCAAGAAGACAACTTTGTGTCGGCAACTGAATGCTGATCGCCAACCCTTTGACGAGTTCCGGATGAGAGCTGTGGCAGCTGCGGCGAAGCAGCCAGAGACCGCTGGCATAACACTAGACCTGTGCGAATGGCTTCATGACGCTGATAAAGGAATTGAGCAACTTGGCCTGAACTCTGTACCAGATCTCGAGTCAGAGAGTAAAGGGATGGTTCGCGTGATGTGAGTACTTCCGTCAGAGGCACTCGAGATGCTGATCATCATAGAATTGCGCCTCGCGACACACCAACACCGGGAGCAGATGCGCTGGTAGAGCTTTTCGATTCATGCGGTATTCCGAGCGCGTTTGTAGACGAGAGCCTGCGAGACGTTTCTCAATCTTTTGCAGCGCGCGAAGACGCCGATGGCACGACGTGGATCTGGTTCCACCTCTTGTGTAAAACGTTAGCAGTGATCGATAACAAGATCGCGCCCAGCCCAAACTTCGCGAAGTTTGAGGACAAACTAGCCAAGAGTCGACAGGCGGCGCAAGCTCAAAGCCAGGCAAACTTCTCCTGGATCAAGACAGGCATTGTCTTGAAGATTCGGAAGCAATCAGACAACCCGCCTCCGCCTGTACGAACGTCGAGTTCTGATAGTGATAAGACGTTGGCTCCTACCCCGACCAAAGCCGCGGTAGAGCTAATATGTTTCGGCGCACCTAGCACCCTACGGGACAGACTTCGGGCACTGACGAAGACGACATCATGCGAGGCGTTGCTGGAAGATCCACACATGCTGCTCGAGCTCGTGTTCGAGGAGATGTACAAGCTCCTGGACTGGACAGCCTGGGCTGTGTCGGATACGTTCGGGCCTTTGGAGACAGTGTGTGCGCTCCTCATTCCATCAAGTGTCATGCTAATGTACTGTCAGCAAACTTTGGGGATAGCCAGCAGGGTTGGCAAAGCGACAGAGGACCTGCCGAAGGACCTCTTCACTGGGCTTCACAACCTGGCCAAGCATGCCATATACCTCCACGAGAACTGTGAAGCAGCATTAGCCACACTAAACGATCTGTATACCCACCATACAACACTGATGGGCAATGGCCCGAGCACCGACCCGAGCACCTTACGGAGACAAACCCAAGAGGCACTCAAATATCGACAGACGCTATTTGAATCGACGCAGCGACGGCTGGCAAGTCTCAATGCGCGCATCTCGAACATTATCGGCTTGTCGTTCAACATCGTCACGCAGGGCGATAGCAAGTTGATGCAGTCGGAGAACCAGAGTATGAAGACAATCGCGGTCATGACGCTCTGGTTCATGCCACTAGGCACGGTGGCATCCATCTTTGGTAGCCAGTTCATGAAGCTGCAGGATGAGTGGCCGCATCATATTACCGTATCGCAGGACTTTTGGCTAATGTGGGGTATGTGAACTGCCAAAGCCTACTCGTAAGATGCGCGCTAATCCTTTGTCGCAGTCATCGCGATTCCTTTGACCCTCGCGGTCCTGTTGAGTAAGTGCAATCCGGATCCGAGGCCGCTGAAGACGTGCGCTGACCCAACCGGCAGTTTGGCGGGTGTGGTACATGGACGCAAGGCACAGATTGATAGACGGAGTGGAAATGAAGCAGGGTGAGCATGGCTATATGGGATGGAAGACGTTACCACAGACGTTGCGTAGAGGAAGGGCGATAAAGAGCATGCCTGATGTGTGAGCTCCTGGGTGCAAGGTCGATGACGTCATCAGGTCGCAGCGACTTCGGCAGCTGCCGCCGCGGCTCTATAGGCTCTCCATCTCGGGCTGCCCTGCCATCGCTCTAAACCCCGCCAGCGCTCAGCAGTGTACGGAACGACAACAGGTTCAGTCGTTTCGAGGAACAATGAGACGAGCGACGAGCCCATGCGCTCTTTCGACGCAGCCTCTCCATCACAAATGCCGGATGAAACAGCATCAGTAGAGTCGAATGACATGAACTTCAGATTCTGGCTCAGCTATCGATCCAGCGATGCCACAACAGTTACTGATGACCGAGAGAGCATCAATCGACCATGACCTGTTTCATGTAGCATCCCCATCACAACCCCCCTCACATCATCCCATGATCCACCCCCAACCCCAACCCCACCATCACCTCCCCATCCCTCTGCGCAATATCCACCGCCCCACTAACCTCAATAAAGTCCTCCAACTCCTCACTCGTAGTCTTCAGTTTCTCCTTCACAGCCGTCACCCCCTCGGTCCCCACAATATGCCTCGCAGGAGGATTATCATGCCCCCCAATCGCCGTAAGCGCATGCACCGTCTCCGCAATCAAATTGCTCTTAACCCCCACCGGCAGCGGCGCATACAAACTCGTCACCGTATCTGAACTCAACAAATCGCCCATGGTGGGTTCGGCGTCTGGGTTGGTGTCTGACATTACGCTTTCGTCTCCGGGGGATTTTGTTGTTGTCGCGTTCTCGTCGAAGGGGGGGTGGGCAGAGGGGTTGTCAATTCTTTCTAGTTTGTCGAGGAGGCCGGAGAAGATTTCTCGGGCTAGGGGCGCGGGGTTCTCGCCTTGGAGGTATTCGGACATGGGGGGCACGGAGGTTATGCGGTTGGTGAGGACGTTGACTTCCATGTTGGCTTGGACTAGGGACATTTTTACGTTGAAGGGGGCGATTTCGTAGGCGAGGCTCTGAGGGGTGTTAGATGGGGTGGTGGTAAGGGTTGGGTGTGGTGCTTGAGTACATCGCAGTAGCCTTCGACGGCCCATTGGGAGGAGCAGTACATTCCTAGACCGGGTGTTCCCAGATGGCCAGCTGGGAAGGGTGAGATCAGTCAAAGATAGCTTTTGATGGTGACGGTGACTCACTGATACCGGTTATCACGATGATGTGTCCATTCTTGCGTTCGCGCATGATCGGAAGTACGGCTTTGATGATATTGACATTCGCGAAGAAGTTGATCTCGAAGATCTCATCGACCAGGCTTCTGGTGCGGCTGGTCTGCGCAAGTTCCTCTACTGAGCCGATCACAGCTTCACACATGGAATGTCAGTTTCATCTTGTCAAGCTGGCAGGGTCACAACCTTCGCTCGCAGCGCACAACAACACGTCTATGCGTCCAAACGCTTCGACAGCCTCCGCAACAGCTGCTTGACATTGGCCAACCACCCTACAAATCAAAACCATCAGCATGCGCAACACTTCACGAATAGATACCGGTATCAAAAACTCACCTACTATCCAACCCAACAACCCTCAAATGCTCGCGCCATCGGTCCGTTTGCTTCACATCCTCCAAAAACGTCCTAAAATCCTCACTCTGCCCTTCTCTTTTCTCAAACTCCAGCGGCATAACGCCCGCAACAACATAATCGCCATGTTCCAGCACCTGTCGCGCTAACGCGATGGCAATAGGCGATGCGCCTCTTGTGATGAACCAAACGCGCGGAGCATTGTGGGGCGGGAAATGCGGAGACTTTGGCCGTGGCGGCTTTGACGACGCAGATAATGGCGCATTGCTTGTCATGTCGAGGTCGGAAGGAATGATGTGTACTACATGTTGGCTGGCGCGTCTTCGTGCTGCGGCGATGGGGATGCGCGGTGGAGACCGGGTATGTGGGGCATGGAGGGCGCAACGCCGCTAGTGGTGAGGCTTAGCGTGGTCGAAAATGACTGTACGAGCAGAAACACCATCACGACTTTGCCAAGACTTGGAGATATTGCGCATTGTACAGTCAGGACAAGCGGAGTCTTGGAAGGATATACCTAGAGATACCGGAGATCTCTTCGCTGTTGTCGTTCTAACATCCAACCTCAATCCATCTCCTGTGCACCCACAAAAGCCGCCCTTTCACCTTCACTGCAGGTATGTCAACTCAGTCGTCATCGGCCGGCCATAAACCAGCCTCCTCGATTAAAACTCTTCTTGTTACTCCCAGCCCCCTGCCGCACAGATGGAGCAGAGTCTTCAGCTCCTTCAGTCTCAAATCTTTCTCTCCAACCTACACTCAACTGCTACACTCCATTTCCACAACTCTTCAATCAATTCCCCCAAAGCACTTCTTTCCATAAATTCAAGAACCACACCACCTACACTATGAGTCTGCTACTAGACCAGTTCACCAACCACTGGACTGACCAGTTTCCGGACTACAGCAATCAAACCACCTACACCTTGCCTTCAGACGGCACTGTCCAGTTTGATCTGGCAAAGTGGTTGGCAAAGGCCCAAGAAGAGCTACAAATCGAAGAAGCTCGTTGGCTCGCTGACGACTTCGACATCAACGAGCCTGCTCCGAGACCGGTCAAGATCCGAGCTAGGGACTCTGCGCAGTGGATCAAGAAAGACAACCGCAACTTCACTGGCCGCCGCAAGCGTAGACGTGAACTCCCTGTTCCGCGCGCCTTCAACAAGCCCTTCTCCCTGATGCAGCACCAACGCCATTCCATCCACCTCATGGGCAGGGTGCTCAACGTGCGTACCAATGGATCGCCCTTCACGCTCGTCCTCGATGACCTCAATCAGCGTGCCGACATCTTTATTAGCGAGATCACCCGCCGCGCACTCTCTCGCAACGTCAACGTCGTCTTCGTCACATTCGAGTCTGGCCAGGCCATGGCACCTATCCGCACCGTCCAGGGCTTCGGCATGACGAGCGACGAGATCTTGAAGGCTCTGCGCAAGGCCATGGATGATGCCAAGGAGAGCATCGTCGTCATCGACAACCTCCACGAGCTCCTCTACACTTACGGCGTCGACATGACCGCGCTATTCCAGCTCGTCGTTCACAAGTACGCCTCTACTCTCGTCGGCATCTACCACCAAGACCTGCTCGATAACCCAACCGAGTCACCATACGCCCCACAGCCACTGGAGTTGATCAAGTACATGGCCACCTCCATCATAACCTGCAAGTCCTTCGCGCACTGCCTCGCCGCCAAAGCCGCCGCTGAGCGCAGCCTGCCCGAGCCCACCTGGGGCATGCTAGAAGCCGCCGAAGGCATCATCCAAGACCTCGACGCCAACGACAACCGCGGCATCGTCATGGAGGCAGAGTTCCGACGCAAGTCCGGCAAGCCAGAGGGTGAGACCTACTTCCTCCGCACGCCTCGCCCGGAAGACTACCACGACCCCATGCCCGGCATCCCCAACGGCACTCTCAAACAGGAGTACGTCATCCTCCTCGATATGCAGCCTGCATATGCTGGTAACGTGTCTGGCCTCATTCAAGATGCCGCTGAGAACCCCAACTCGACTTTCAACCTTGCTCTCACGGAGAAGCAGAAGCAGGCTCGTGAAGAGGTTGTGCTGCCTTACTTTGATGCGCAGAAGGGTGAGGGTGCTGGTGAGGGTGGGCGTATCTTGTATGACATGGGCTCTGAGGATGACTTTGACGAGGAGGAGGATGAGATCTGAGTGCGTTTCCTTGGGCTTCGGGTTGAGGATAAGGCGCTGGTCGCAGGTTTGAGTTGAGCTTCTGAGATACCCTGTCTGGTAGGGCGACGGCGTTATGGCAATCATTGATGGGAGAGCGATATGCGCGATGCGCAGGCAACGGGATGCGAGCAGACTACGAGAGAGCTCTTGCCTTCCTTAGGGAGACGGTCTTACAGACGGATGGTGTTGCGTCTTCTCAAGATGCGGCAGTCGTACATAACGAATAACATGATAAAACCCATCGATACTGCGCTTTGCATGACATAATCGAAGTGCTTCTCAGCCTACTAATTCAGCTCTTCAACCTCCATGTATCGTGATTGAGCCTCGCGCATAGCGACTGCACCATGGTAAGGCCCTCGCCATCAGCCTTGGCGCCCAAACTCCCCAAACTCCCCCAACTCACCAAATAATTCCCTTGCGCCAACCACACCCACACCCCCCACACCCCCCTCCACACCATGGCAGACAACGAGCGACCACGCGCAACCTACAGCGACCCCTTCGAGCGCGACACCCGGCGCGCACCCCGCGAAAGCCGCGATCGAGGCGGCACACCCACCGAGCGCCGCGGCAACCGCTCGCGCAGTCCGCAAGAGCGCGGCGCCGGCCGACGCGACAACCGGTACCGCTCGAGATCACCGTTCCGCAAAGACGAGCGCGACGGTGGAGTAAGGGGAGGAAGAGGACGGGGACGTGGTCATGACCGCGGACGGGGCCGCGACGACAGGAGAGGCGCAGGAGGACGAGACGAGCGCCCCAACTTCCGCGACCGCTCGCCCCAGCCGCCCAAAGGACCTCGAAGCGACAACGCGCCTCCTGCTCGCATCGCACGAGCGCCTCCCACCGGTCCCCGGTCCTCCACCGTCGACCCCATCAACCCTATCAAAAAAGAAGAAGAAGTCTCACCCGACGTCGAGATGAAAGATGAGCGCCAGAAGCCAGAAGACATGGACGACGAGGAGTGGGAGATGCTGAAGGTCATGGGTTTCGGCGGTTTCAAAAGC